CCGTCTGGCCAATCTGTAAAATGGGGCCACTGATAATCGGTAAATGGCATCATTTACCAGTCACCAGGAAAAACAGTTAACCCCCTCCTGACCTAACCCTGAACTAGAAAAAAAACCACTAGGCCAAGCTGACTCAAATCCCACAGAGCACAACGCTAATTAAGACACCTATACTTTTCTGATTGGAGGCAGCACTAAAAAGGCTGAGGTTTCCTTTCACTGCCTGCTCTGACTTGTTCGTCTGGATCAATGTAGAAATAGCAGCAATTTGCTCTTTGTAATTCCTCTCCAGGAATAAAAAGGGCTAGGATATTCCTGGAATGCCTCCTTACTCACAAATCAGAAGGCATACCTCCTAGAGACACTGTACTTCGCTCTGTTTGGTCCATGTGGAGATTAAATGAGATAATGCATGGAAAGCGCTGAGCAAGAATCTGGCACACAATAGACAATAAATCAATGATGTTAGTAATTGTTATACACACATACACAAAACCAAAACCAAAACCAAAACCAAAACAAAAAAAGGGAGGACTGTTTCCTGATGCCTATCAGCTTACTTGCAATAGGGAGGATTGAAACATAGGCAATAATAGTTTCACACCACACCCCAGAGATGTCTTTGCCGTCCTCTGGTTTTCTTGTAATTGGTCCCTTGCTAGTAATCATGAAGAACTTTCGACAGTGCCACAGGTAGTCACTCCCCACTCTCCACCTCTCAATAACAGCAGCAGCAGAAGGTTTGGAACAATGAGAAGAGAAATGCAAAAGACCTTAAAGAAATTCCACAAAGCCCCTTGGCACTGATCATGTGGAAGTTTTGCCAGAAAAGTCAAATATCCCACGCTAAATCAGGGTTGTTGGTGGAGAAAAAGGGTAACTAAAGCACAGACGCTGAACAACCAATGGAAAGATTATCTCCCCGTCAGAAACCAAACCCTAAGAGTCTAGTTCTTCTGTAAATTTTAGGCTACAGATAAATTCTTCCTAAGGCACACCTAGCAATCTCTTGTGTTTGGCTCTGCTGTTTGGACACGCATAGTTATGTTTTCCTTCCAGGCACAAAACCGGTTTTCAAGAGCTTCAAGAAAATATTCACATTTTTCATGATACGCGATAAGCACGTTTTACTATAACTGAATTTTCTAATTTGCTTGGGGCACCTTCCCAGTGACGCACAAGAGTATACAGCTGTGCAGGACGTTTCTTTTTTTTAAGGTGGAAAAATGAATAACGTCTGGACTCCAGAAAACATGGTATATTTGCAACAGTCATGAGACTGTGGCTAAAAAATGGCCATAAAACTTTTATTTTTCATCTTGTACTGTGTCCACTCAACCTATAAAGGGCCATGTCACAATTTTTGTAGTTTCTAAACCAGGTTTTTGTAAACACAGAGGGCATTAGTGTTACCCCTATTCAACTTGTAAAAGACCAGGCCACTTGGCAATTCTTGTAGTTTCTAAACCATGCTTTCCAAAATGCAAAGGACAAGGGTGATCCGTCGCTTTAGGAAAGGGCAAGTAACATTCTACCTCTGGCTGAGGATCTCGCTTATTTCACTCGACCTAAGTTTTTATGGCAACCCTCTATTACTAGGAAAGTGTATGTCCCCTGCCATTCAAAGTAATAAGTGCAACTTGTAAAAGTCAGGGTTTTTTTTATTTGATACATTCTAATCAAATGGTAACAGCAGTAAATAAACACTTTGAAAAACAGGCAGGTATTCCCCCTAGATCTGGAAGAAAATTAGGTCAAAATATTCTACATGGTAGAAGGGAGACAACTGCTGATGTCCATGGTTAGACCACTTGGAAATTTCTAAAGCCACTGCAGAAAAATCAATGGCAACAGGTGGGGACACAGTTACTTCAGGGGTAAAATGTCTCTATCTACATGGTTTTATTAACAGGGATTGAGTTGCACCTGTATAGCATGACATTCTTGTCTTTAGCCTTAGAGGAAAAGATCAAGTCTTTTCCGTTTGCACCAGTTTGAAAATGTTCTGAAATAAGGCTCCCTTGAAATGGATTACTACAGTACTCATCCACATGAGAGAGTTCATACATGTAGTAAAAAGACAAATACAGGATTTCATGGTCACTTTTTTGGTTGATTTGGTTAATTGCATAAAATGAAGGATAAATACTCACAAGCATATCTGTTTAACAAAACTCCTAAGTACACCAGAATGCAAAATATCCAAAGTCCTAAAATAGATTCTGATCACCAGGCATACAAAACTGAAGTTAAGCCGGTGTCAGTCTGGTTCCTTCCACTTCTTCAGCACTCCCAAGCAGAGCTCTTTCTCTACTACTGGCGCTGGGACACTGCGCCTAACAGGAAGGAACCTCAGAAAGGCAAAGTGTTCTGATAAAACGTTCCTTCAGCCTTTACTTGGGACATTTGACTTTTAGCTTAAAAGGATCAACTGGTCTTGGTGAGCCTTAGGAAGGGAAGCATCACTCAGGTAAAAATATTTAGGGGACTTATAAATATCTAGCTACCTCACCACACATTTAAATTAGATTGACTTCAGCTGTTCTGAGAATTCCACGTAGTTATCCAGAGCCGTCTCTCAAGTTTTGGTTCTCTTTTACATAGCTGCATTCGGAGATACTCTATAGGAGGCATGTTTAGAAAAAGAGAAACACTTATACCTGGAATTTATATTCTTCCAAATAATCTTTTAGTCTTGTTGGTAAAGGCAGTCCCCAGATGGTACCAGTACATTTGTTAATGGTGAGTCTACAGAGATGCTGCAGAGGTGGTGCTGATGTGTAGAGCGGTTTGGTCAGATAAAGGTGAACAGTGCCGTTCCGGGGGGCTTCTGGGCCCGTCCGCTTATCCTTGCACATCTGAACATAGTAGTCGATCAGATGAACCACACTGTCAAATTGTTTAAGCTTGGACTTGACACATATGATAGAGTCCAATCTGAACTTCCCATCTTGGTGTTCGATGCGAAGATTAGTTGGTCCAGCTGATGTTTTAACAGATATTGTTAGTAGATAGTCCGAATGCGAACTATCTCTAATCAAGAAAGTTCCTTCTGGTGCCTCTTTTAATTTCTCTTTGGCTTCATTAACAGTCATACTTCCCCAGTACCAGCCTGGGGTTTTTGTTCAAAAAAAAAAAAAAGGAAAGAAACAAAGAAAAGAGGGTAATGTAGTTATTATAGAGAATTTTTAAGATAGAGCAAGTACTTGGCAACAATTTTTCTAGCCCTAAAAAGAGGTTTGCAAGTGAAAGTTTCCCAGAGGCTACCATAAATACTTTCTGTAGAAACTGAATGAAAACATAGGTCCATTTTCTTTTCCCAAACTGTGAGCCAGTTTTCTTTTTAAAAAAGTAACTTTCTGTAGCTGTTCTTTAAACTCTCTTAAGATTTTTCTCCTAAGGAAACAAAAGAATGTTTGCAATATGACACACTGGCTGTCCAAGACTGATGCTCCTACACTATTCAAGCAAATCAAAGATTTAAAGTAAACTAGAAATAAAAGCCATGCCCTTAAAAAGTGGAAAACCCAATTCCTGTAATTCCAACAGAGTAAAAACAGAAACAACCTTTTGGATGGTTGGTGTCCACCCCCACTCTCCCTAAACCTGTTAATGACTTGCATACATCTCATTTCAAAGCCCTGGAAAGCACCACTATTTACTGGTTTTAAACGTGCAGTTCTAGAACAATAGCTTCTGTTTGCTGTTTTGACTACAACTACCTTATCAGCCATTGAGAAACGAGAAAGCCCAATTGATAACTAGTACTTCAAGGTTACAATCTTCCATAAACTCTTGGGACTTTGCCCTAATCCAAATCCAATCAAAACCGTCCGGTCACCCCAGCATTCTCTGCCTGCACCTCCTCCCTGGCCCATCCAGTCTTCAAAAAGGACTTATCGACCTTTTGCCTTTTAAAAGTTTGAACAATGGTCCTTCACCTCCCCCAACCCCCACAAAGAAAATTGCTGGGATACCTGCAATCTGACGGTTCCTCCCGCTGGGGGAAAGCCCGTGGCCTGCACGGAAAGACCGGAACCGCAAGTGAAGGGACTTTTCCCTCTCCCTAATGCTACCAAAACTTCAACTTTGCCCCAAACGTAAGTTTTTAGGATCCAGATTTTGAAAGTCTGCATGGTCTGCCAGAATTTTTTTTTCAATCTTTTCTTCTGTCAGATGTCGAGAGACCACAGCGTAAAGCGCAAGAATGCACGTAAAACAAGCAAGGCCACTCTCGGCGGGGGATTCTCAGTCCGCGCTCCTCCGGCCTCTGTGGCAGCCGCCTGCGCGGCAATCTGTCCGTCCCTGAACTTGGTCGCCAAGATTCCAGGCTGCAGCGGCTGCCCGGCCCGGGAGCCGGATGCAGCTGAAGCTGCTGGCAGCGCAGCGCCCATTCGCCGCCCTCGCACCCCTCGGACAGGAAAAGCGTCGGGCACTATCTGCGGCTAGGGTCTGGGCCCAAGTGCCGAACCCCAAGCAGCCGCGGTAAATAGTTAAGGTTCCACAGCCCTAAGAGGCGATTTCCCAGGAGCGACTCTCGTGCTCTACACTCCCCTAGGCCTCTGAGTGCCTCGAGAACCACTTTTCTTTCGCATTCCCAAGGATCCAGGGCCGTGCGGGCATCCTCTTCGCAGTCCCCCGCCCTGCGGAGGGGAAGGGAAGCGATTGCTTCCCACGTCGGCCCCACTTCCCAGCCTCTCCAGCACAGCCTCAGCCGCGTCTCTGGGGAGGCGCCCCCTCTCGCACGCGTCGCGGCCAGTCCGCTCCATACCTGTTTGACTGAGCTCCCGAAGAGCCTTCGCCAGACACGCCGCCTCCGGGGACGGCTCCTCCGCCGATCCCGAGGTCCCCCACTGTCCCTGCGTCCCTTCTGCGCCATTCCCGGAGGGCTCGAGGCACCGCAGGGTCATGGGAGAAGGGTCACGGCGGCAAAGACAGGTGGCCGCCCGAGCTGAGGTCAGAGAGGGGCACGCGTCCTTCTTGGAAGTCAGTGGGAACCCCAAAACGAATCCCTGAGGGGTCCCCGAAATGGTGGTGGAGGAGGAGATGGGGAGCTGCTGGTTCTTCCTCCCCGGGTCCTGGTGCACGGATGGCAAAATCCCCCGCAGGCGCGGTCACGCACAGTTTGCCTACAAAGAGAAAGTGGAGGGTTGGGTCAGTCGGAACTGGACCCCAGCGGCTGGGGTGTGGGTGGAGGGACAGTTACGTGGAAAATCCCGGGGACTCCTCCGCGTCTGTACTCCTGCACCATTTAACCCCAAGCATCCAGTTACTGCCCTCGCCCGCTCTACAGAAAAAAGGATAAAGAGAGAGCATGGATCCAGGACGCCAAGAGTTGAGGGGGGCTGGTGAGCAGGATAAGGGTCAGGAGCGGGTGTTTTCCCGCCCAGGGCCGCTAGCTGAAATCGCAGACTAGAAAAGCAGAGTCACCTGCGGGTACGGTGGTAAATAGGCCCTAGTCAAGGACAAGTTGAAAAAAATTTAAAGGAAAGAACAGAAGTCCCCAAATTGGCACTCCTGTCTCACACTCCGCACAGCCCGGGGAGCCCCAGAAGGAAGCACCCCGCACAAACCTAGTTCCCCGCCCTACAGCGCCTCTGGGCAGAGCCCGCAGCCCCGGGCGCAGAGGCGAGGAAGCTGCGGCAACCCTGCCACACAGGCTGCCTCGCTCCCCTCCCCCGCGCTTCCCGGCGCCCGCTTGGGGCAGGGGTGGGGGGCGCCGTGGCCACAGCTCCTGAAGCCCGGCGGCTGCTTCTATTGCCGCCGCAGGCGCTGTCGAGGAATCAGCCCGAGCGCGCAGCCTTCGTGGGGACTCCGAACCTCGACCAGAGCCGGGGCGGAGCAGGAGGCAGCGTGAGCTGCGGGACGTGCTAGACAACTAACGCCGAGCCCTTACCTCGGCCCCAGCCGCTGCCGCCGCCTCCGCACCAGGCAGTCTCCCTAGCCGGCATGGGGCGGGGGAGACGGGAGGGGCCCGGGAGGAGGGGTGTCTGCCCGAGTTTCCCCTGTTGACTTTTAATTTGGGAACGAGATGCCTGGGGGTGCAACGAGCCCTGCGCTCAGCGGCAGGGGCGGCCGGAGCTCTCTACGCAGAGGGCAAACATAAGCCGCAGGAACCATCGCCTCAACCCGCCGGGCTCGGACACCCCCTCCGGGCTCAGACACCCCGGATCCACGGCAGCCACTGAGTTTCCCTCCGGCTGCGACCAAGGAGATGGGAAGGAGAGAGGGAAGGAGGAAGGAGCCAGGGCGGGAGGCGGGCGAGTGGGGAGGAGCGGGAGATCAGGTTATTAGGAGGATTATTAATTTGGATGGCATTTTAGGGGAGAAAAAAATTAAAAACTCTGGAGACTTCTAGACGCTGGGAAGGAACCGGAGAAAAAAGGCAGTAGCTCTCGGCCTCGGGGTACAGCCGCAGTTCGGACTCTTCCCTGGCAGCTCCAAGCTACGGAAGCCAAGCCTGCCCGGGCTCGCGGCCGCGCCCGGGTGCCCTCCCCAGCTCTAATAGGGGCGGAGCCGTCGGGCTCCCCGGACCGGTACCTGCCACCAGCCCCGGCCCGAGCTCCTCCGGCACCCCAGCTGCGGGCGAAGGGGATCTTGAGGCTGTGCGCCCTGGGCTCCGGCGCGAACTCTCCGCTGCCCGCGCAGCACCAGTGGCGGCGGGCAAGGAAGCTCATGCTTCAAGGGAAGCCCAAGGCCCGCGAGCCGCAGCGGCGGCGAGACTAGAGTTAAACGTCTGTCCACAGAGCGATGTGTACGCTCGACTTCCCAGACCGACGCGCCTCCCTAGCTCCCCGCCTCCCTCCCTGGTCCGCGCTCCCCGCGCGCCCTGCCCGGCGGCTGCGGAGGCCGCTTTCCAGGAACTTTCCAGGAATCCGCCTCACGTGACCGCGGCCCCCGCTACTGCTTTAAAGAGCCTCTTGCGCTAATGCGCAGGCTTCGGGGGAGACGGACTCAGAGCGCTCTCCAGGGCCGGCCGGGGTTGGGTGGATGCCTGGGAATCTGCCCTCCTCTGACCCTACGCCTCGGAGTGCTCGGAAACGCGCAGGAGAAGCCCCCAGCCGCCACCGTCAGGGTTTCAGCGGCCGGAGCCTGCCCCCAACCCGTGCCAGCTGAGTGCGGAGGTTAAGCGGATAGCAGACCTCCTCGCCCCTCGGCCCTCCGTACTGAGGGGTAGTGGTCTTTTCCATCCCTCCGCGCCTTCTCGGAGCGACTCTCCAGGCTGCACATTCTGTAAAGGGGGGGTGGTGCAGGAGAAACTGGAGGTCCTCAGAAATGGCCCCTCCCGCTCTGACACATTAATGGGGTTGGGGAGCCGCCTCTCCAGCCCCCGCGCCGACGCCTGGGAGCCCCGGGGAGCGGGCCGCTGGCGGGCCTCTCTGCCCAGGTCTTAGAGGGCTGCCAGGGGGCGGAGAGCAGCGCCTCCTTAAGCGGCGCTGGCTGCTCTCAGTCCCCTCCCCCCGGCGGTCCTGCTCGCGGTCTCCCGCACCCGCCCTGCCCGGCTCCTCCCTCCCTCCCTCCTACTCTCCGCTCCACCGTCTCCTTCCGGCAGCCCGGCAGCCCTATGGACTCACCTGCACGGACTGCAGAGGGGGTGCCCTGGCCAGTGCGCTCTTGTGGTCCTGGATGGCCGGTCTCGGTGTTCGCAGTCCGGAGAGCGCTCGGCTCTGCTATTTGCCGCAGAGCTGGCGCCCGAGGACCGGGAATGCGGAAAGATCCCGGCTTTTCTTCCCTGCTCGGAGACCCCCACCTCCTCCCACCTGGTTGGAGGCCACCTGGCCTCAGTTGAAACTCATCTTCTTGCCTGCACGTTCGCCCCCGAAATGTGACCGACTTTAAATGTGACCTACTTTTTAAAACTATTAACACTTACGGGGAAACGGGATCCAAAATTTCGATAACCATTTTTCTTTTAAATACTATTCTATTGCATCACTACTCAAAAGCTTGAAAGGTCAATGGCCACTTTTAGTTGAAGCGTTGGCTGTGGGGAAGTTGGGCGAGGAAGGAGGAGGGGACGTGGAGGACGCGCGGCTCACAAACCGTGCTTGGTGCCCCCCCTGCTGGCTCTCCAAGGAAACGTAAACCAGCCCCCAGCCTTCCAGCCGGGAGTCCTGAGCAAATTGGTTTTCTCAATAATTTGCCTGGTTTTGAGTAAACAACTATGCAAACGGTAGATTAGGCGGAGGTGGGGTGGGGGCTGACATTTCCCAGCTAACAAAGCGTTTTGTCAACGATGGAGTCGCGTGCACGGAATGTTTTACTTCTTACAGTCTGACATGGAGGACGGAGCTAACTGAACCCTAGTTGAAACTCTCTATAAAGGAGCTGAATAATTTCGCACAAGTCGTTTACCATGCTTGGATCCTAGCCTTTTCTATGAAATTAAGGGACAGGACTTTCTTTGGTTCTGGGAGAGGGACTGGGATGAGTGAACAAATAAGATTACATGTGGAGTCTGCGTGTAGTCCAAAATCTTTAAGAACCACATCTACTAACGTTCACTATGCTCTAAATTATTCCATACAGCTTCTCCTTCCTTGGCAGAGAATCGCTGAAGAAGTGTGTACCCACTTCACTGCAGTTTAAATTAAAATATTTATTTTTAATTTTACAAAGATAAAGTAATTCTAATCATCAGTTGAAATGAATCTGCCAGCATCCCTTCTTAAATGTGCTTTCCTGTTGCCTCCTAAAGGTCGTTGCTCACACCCTACCGTCTTCCTGGAGTGCTCCTCCCCAGACTGGGTGCATGGCAGACTTTCATCATTCTTGGCCCAGCTCAAAGTCACTTCCACAGAGTCACTGTCCACAAAGATTACAATAAGCACAATGCCGGCTATACAGGCACCAAACTTTGTACCAAAGTAGGATTTTCGACTTCTGTTTCTGAAATGTTTCTCAGCAATGCCCAGCATGTTGTTGACCTTTAATCTCCAAGAAACACATATGGGAGTCACTTAGGAAAATGTTTATGGGATCATGTTAAGTGGGAAAAAGGTAGAATATGAAATTGCATTGACACTAAGATTTCAACATTATAAAATAATGCATGTGGGCAAAAATATACTGTGGAGAAATGAAAGCAGCTGTTTTTAAGGTAACAAGATATGAGTGAATTTTTAAGTTTGACTTTCTGAAATTTCCGATGTAGTCTCCGTTGTCCCATAATTGCATGTGGGTGTCTTCACTTAGTCTAAGGGGGTAGGGTGTAGTTTGTAGAACTGTCAGACCGCTCTCCCGAACCCTGGACACATTACCCTTCAAATGTCTAAGCGGCATCTCCAGTTTGATAGGGCCCAAACTGAGACCTGGATGACCCAACCGTCCCTTAAAAATTAAACAAAAATAAAGCCAACCCTCCTGTATCCTTCCCCATCTCTGAAGATGTCAATTCCTATCTTCACTTGCTCTGGGCAACAGCCTTAGAGTCATCCTTGACTGCTCATTCTCAAACACCCACATCCCACCTGTGGGCTAATCTTTTGACTTTCATTTCACAATAAACCCAGGATGGAAGCACTTGCCACCATCTCCACCTCACACCAGTGCAAGCCACGTCCATTTCTAGCCGACTTACTGCTGCAGCCTCCCTCCTGGCCTCCTTGCCCCTCAGTATGCTCTTCTTGATAGTGCAGTAAGAGGGATCCTGTTTAAACTAAGTCATTCCACATCCCTCCTCTGCTCTGCCCCAAATGTCTGCATTGTACCAGAGTAAAAGACAAAACCCTAATAGCCACTCACAAGACATTAGAAGATCTGGTCCCAATTCCCTCTCTGATCTCACCTCCTCCTGCTCTGTTCCTTCATCATTCTGCTCAAGTCACAGTGGACTCCTTGCTATTCGTAGAACATCCTACCCTTGCTCCTTCCTCGGAGCCTTGTCTTTGCTGTTCCCTCTCCTATGATGCTCTTCCTCCACATAATTACATGGTTTGCTCCCTCACTTCCTCATATCTACATTCAGTGTCACCTTCTTAGTGAGACTTGCCTGATCACTCCATTCAGAATCCACCCTGCCAAGACAAACACACACACGCGCACACACACACACACTCTCTCTCTCTCT